GGAGAATTGAAGTTATATTCTGATATGCACATTGTTTATTTAAATGTTGAATAGGCTGGCAACAGATATGCCTGATTAGCTAAATATAATTTATGATAGTTTGAATGTATATCTATTGGATTTGTAATGAGAAAATTCTGATATTTAATACGATCTTGGTCAGACAGAGGCCTTGTTAGATTTCGGTTGAAATACTTGGCAATGTATTCAATAACTAGAATAGACTCATAAAATGCTCTGGCTGACATATCTGGAACATGAAAATATATGATTAAACTGAGGATGATCCCCATAAATGATAGAAGACCTCCACTAAATGAACTAAGAAAAAAATTATAAATGAGAAAGGCATGTGAAGGACTACAGAAAAGCCCAAACTACACCAAATGAATACAGAAAAATCTTAAAAGTTATTGCCAATGTTGAAAAACAAACCCATGTGGGTAGGACGAAGACTTTGATAGAACCCTTCTATATAACAACTGCTCATTTACATCATGAATTGAAAGTATATAATTTCTTTTTTGTGATATAAAAATTTCTCTTGCATCATTTGGAGCTTCTTGAAATTTATCACATTTTAATTTAAAGAAATGTACCCTAGCCTGCCACATCTTTCACAAGGTAGCAAATGTGTTCCTAAACCATAGCAATCTATATATTAGGCAACAATGTGCTATTCATGTATATCTACTGGTGACTGATTAATTTAACTAATTTGTACTGACAGCAATATGCTTTCTGTAACTATGCAGGGGCTATATTTGATGATGCTTGCTTGAAAGGACTTAATGGATTCCCAGATGTAGTGGAATGTTCATTCGTGCAGTCAACAGTCACTGAGTTGCCCTTCTTTGCATCCAAAGTGAGTTCAAAAAATTTGTGCAATGTTGATACCCGATCACTTTGTTATTTATAATGATCGCTTTCAATCGGAATAACTTGGTAAAAGACCAATGATTTGAATCTCACCTTGTTATATGGTTATTATATATGAGTCCTTGGTTGAATGTATTTCCAATAAAAGGACATTTGGTTTCATGTTATGAGAAACTGTTTCTTCATATTGAGAGGCATCCATATGAGTATGACCATTTCTTATCCTTTACAAGGAACCTCAGCTTATGATGATGATTGAAAATTTCCACAAAAAGCAGGTTGAGAATGATAAAATTTGGTGAAATATGGGTAAACAGAATGAAACTGAATTCTCCACTCAGCACAGAAAGTTTGAAACTCTCCGTTCTGAACGGTTGTGTCCACTGGTCTTTTTATTT